GTCAAAAGGTTATACTAGAGACAAACTTAACTAGAGAGTAAAACAAGATTATACTCATTCTTTTATTAGCCTGTTAGTTCTAGCATACTACAATTTTTTCTAATTCATGATGGCTTCTCGGCTTAAAGTTTGGGAAGTTAAACATCGCCTTGTCACTGTACCAAGATGTACCCCATGGCTTTGATGTACTTGTTTCCATTATCTGCCGAGTGCGACGCTTCGTTGCCACAGGTGTTTGAGTCATCGTACCACCCTCCAGTGCCAAACCCGATTCTGGAGTCACAAGAATTACAGTGGTGCTGTTGATTGGCATTAATTCCGATCCTTCCTTTGGATGCAAGGGAATCAGATCCACTCACGGAATTAAATCCTTCCCTGTTGCAGTAGGGCTGCAAGGAGGCCTGTGAGCCAATCAGCCACTTCCATGCGTTACGACCCAGTGAGGTGGCGCGGTATTTCCCGTCAGCGATCAGTGAGTACAGTGAGTTGGCGTGCCTGTTGATGACAATGAACCTTAGCTGATGACCAATCTTCATACCGAGGCAGATCTTGGAGAAAGGTGTGTTCCAGCAGGTCGGCAACTTGGTCTGTTGTAAATCAAAGCCAGTCCTGCCTCCAGCAAGGTTATATGTATTTCTGTTGCGCCAGAAATGGGAATTGTAATGAAAGGTTCTCTAAAAAGCAGAGAAATATCCTTTCAATTTTGTTTCTTTGTTTAATTAATAATATCTAGAGTTTCCTGAAGGAGACAGGGAGTTTACCTGTGCGCCGTCAATCTTCATGGCCAGCGTCCATCCTCCACCACCACATCCAAAGTTTCCCATGTGACAGTAAACAGGAATCTTTTGTGAAACAAACATCAGCGGATACACTTGGCTTCGTCTCGACCTTATGAAAAAGGAATAATCAAAATATATCGGAAGGAGTCACCCTGTAAGCAAGCGCACTGGGTCCTTTGACTGTAAAAATTATCATGGCGACCGTTTTGAAATCTTGCAATTAAAACGGTTTACTAAATACTTACTTCCCTATGTCGTACTGCTCCTTGCAAGAAGAGAAGGGACAAACTGAGGAAGATAAGACAGTGATTTTAAGGTCTGAGCTCATCGAGAGCACTTGAAAAATAAGAACACTAATTGATGTACCCTAACATATCATCGCAAAAAAAGTATCTGGAAGCTTTGAAGGCAAAGCGTCCCTTACCAGCACAACGAGATTTTTTACTTCGGTTCGAAGCGTCCTAATGTCTTTGCTGATCTCACCGCAGTGATTGGCGGTACAGGATTGTTGTCTGGCGTGGATTAAAATAGCAAACAGCGCGAGAACATTTGCGATGAAATGAGCTGTTAAAAGCAAGCGCATCTCGAGAATCGATTAACGCCAGAAAATGCTTTCTGTGTTGCTCAACCGGTGAATAACTCACTGTGGTGATTTTGCTTCGTTATTGTTTGTTATCATTGTTAAACACAACAAGTATTTTCTTGCACGCACTCACCGACATCCAATGGACAAGTTACAGTTTGAATTTTATTTTTAACATCATTTGATCGCATTGTACAATGTCTCGTAAAGAAATTATCACAAACTTTGAAAACCTGTTCACAATATGGCTGTCTATCTGTTGAGAAATACGGAGCCATTTTGAGAGCGACGATATTGCGAGTTTATAAATCAATTTCATATGTTTATTTTAATGAACTGAACCCAATTTTTCATGCATGCATGCCCACACAATTAACTAAGGCCCTTATCGTTTTGTTTCTTGGTCCATATATTTCGGTAGATAACACAATGATAAGGGGTGCGTTAATACAGAATAGAAATTTACCCTGCAACAAAGTTGTCCCAAACTGTTAAGACTCTGAACTTTTCAATCAACAAGAAGTACAAATTCCACTGCTTTGAAAGTTAATTTCTTATGGAGAAATACAGGAGAACACGTAGTTTGTTTAATGAATCAATTAAGTGAACATTTTAATCCAAACATTATACTTTCAAACCAAATAAAAATGAGTAATAAAGCGGCATGGCATTACTCGTGCGTTAATTTTCACGACTTAACATTTGCATGTTGATCGAACTTTGTTCTGGTTTCGCTTTAAATTCCATGTTGATCGAAATATATTATCATTTCGATAGAAAAGGAATATGTTTTAATATCTTTTACCTAAGGGGCCAATCTGGCAAAGGTCGCATGGATGGAACTTGCAATGGGGCGAAACCTTCATAACCACTAAAAATGTCATTCCTGTCCCGGTGCTTTTAAAGTTTCATATTCTCTGATGTTTACTTTTGTATTGTAATTTTATTATTACTGTTCAATTTCTTTGTTTCTTCGAATATTTCTTGCCACTGCACCAACACAACAAATTTACTATTACTCAACTGAAAATTAACTATTTGATTATGGAAATTTTTCTGAATCCATAATTTAATCAGCTGGTAAGCCTCATCACTACATTGTCCTTATTCATGATGTTTTTAACTTAAGAGTTTGGAATTTAGCTGTGTCCCTCGTCACTGCACCAGGATGTACCCCATGGCTTTGATGTGCTTGTCTCCATTATCAGGCTGGCGCGTTGCCTCGTTTTCACAAGTATTGGAGTCATCATATAGTCCTCCTGTGCCAAAACCAATCCTTGAGTCACAAGAAGAGCAGTCATTCTGCTGGTTAGCAGTGGTGCCGATTCTTGCTTTGGATTGATGAAGTTTCTCTCCAACCACGTTAAATCCTTCCATGTTGCAGTGGGGCTGCAAGGAGGACTGTGAGCCAATCAGTGTCTTCCACTTTTTACGACCAAGTGAGGTGGTGCGTTTTTTTTTTCATCAGCGATGAGTGAGTGTAGAGAGTCGGCATGCTTGTTGATGACAATGAATCTGAGCTGATTGCCGATCTTCATACCGAGACAGATGTTGGAGAAGGATGTGTCCCAGTAGGTTGGTAACTTTGTCTCTTGAAAGTCAAAGCCAGTTTTGCCTCCTGGAAGGTAGTAAGAACTTCTGTTCCTCCAAAATTGGGAATCGTAATGGAATGTACTCTGAAATTTATCACAAATAATTAGTTTTTTCTTAATTTTTTATTAATGAAATAGCACTAATAGCCTGTTTCAGGCTCCTATTCAGTGAAGATAAGCGAGCCACGCTTGACCTTTTTCAGGAAAACAGCTACCATTTTGCCTATCCCCTTTCTCGCATCTTTGTATTGACCTGTATCCACGATACATTTCTTAGCCGATAAATTCATACCTTATTACCATTGATCTTCATGACTGGCGTCCATCCCCCATCTCCGCATCCAAAGTCTCCTAGGTGAGAGAAAACAGAAATTGGCTTTGAGTCTAGGAGCAGAGTGACCTCGCCACTCTTTTTGGATCTATTGAATAAAGTATTTCTTTAATAGGAGAGATACGGCTGAAATTTGATGAAGGCCATGGCTTCTATAGCTATATATTCAGTAAATGATACAAAGTACTTTCTAATTCCTCTGAAACGAGATTCAAGTATGGAAGATTATTTTATTATCAAGGTTATTATTCTCAGTATCCTAATTTTGAGAGCTTTCCTTGTCCTTCTTCTTTTTCGAATTATCAGTACTATTACATTATTTTCATGTTTGCTCTTTATAGTTCTGTTCGGCTTTGTTTTTGACTTTAAATTAATTAACTACTGACTTACACATTGCGGTCGAAAATTTCCTTACATGTCAAAGCTGGAAAAAAAAGGTATATCAACTGCAAAAAGGCCTTTGGGAAGAAAAAAGAACGGGGTGATGTAAAATCTTTTTTTTTTTTTTTAAGGGGAACGTTTATATGTAGAAGAGAAATATATAAAGTTCAATTCCAAGTTAAAAAGTGTGACTGGCCACCGATTAGAGGGAAGAATAGTCCCTATCTTAGTACGAAAGTTATCGACTTCATTCATCTATGACAGCTTTGAAATTCTCCATGGAGCGACTCCAATTGAGGGCCGAAAGTAACCCACAGTTGTATTGGTTTCACTTTAGTACGCTTTGCGATTGTTCCAGATACTCMCCATGCAAAGCAGATCAAAGCTATTGCAACTTGGTTCCTCGTGTTTTCGTGGTGTCGGTGGGTGTCTAATGCGCACGATGAAACTGCAAGCAACGGAGCCGAGAATTTAAGATGCGTCCAAACCACTCACAGCTTCGCCGTTCGTTCTCACACCACTTGAAGTTTCAAATGCACACCAGAAGGCCGCTATTTACGCAGGGTAGCGTTTACAAACCCTTCGAGCGTCTTTTTAATTTGTTTTCTTATTAGTTCCCAACAAGGCTTTTATCGAATTTTTCCATACTTTTTATTTTTCTTTTTTTTATTATTGTTTTGCTTTTGTTGGTTTGTTTGTTTATTTTCTACCAGTTTACAGAAAAGAACGTCTCATAACTGATGTCTGAACAGAAGCATTTAAAAAAACTAAGAAATACCGCAGGAAAAATATTACCCGAACGGCAGATATTTCCACGTCCGTAGTATCCTGGTTTGCATGTACCGTTGTACGATCCCTTGGTATGGTTGCACACTGCATCAGCACTGCAGTTTTGTGTTCCTAAAGCACACTCGTTCATATCTGAAAAAGCTCTTCATTAACAAGAATCTCAGTCACTGCAGTTAACTTTAGAAATTAACGCAGCTTTAAAAGCAGAGTATGAACAACGAATGGAGACCCACCTTGGTTATCAAACTCTGAAAATACTCTCCTCTTATTGAAAGGTCATCATTGCAGATGTGAAAATAAAGTGTGTAAAACGAATTGAGCCCAAAGAGGAATCCGACAGGTAATCTTGCAAATTTTTCAGCAGCTCTCTAACCAATAGGGCCATCAAGCCAGTTACGGGGATTGACTATTGTACGACTTGATGTATTTATTTGATGAGAATTAGACATTAGTCACCAGACCC